TATAAGGCTACTGCCTTCTCTAATATACATATTAGAATCTTCTGTAATAACTACTATATTCTGTTCTTACTGTGGCTTCTAACAGTGATTGATGTCCCTGTTAATAAGTCTTTGAGTGCCTAATATTAAGCATTTCCTTTTTAGTTCAGTAAATATTCAAATAAGATTAAAACTGTAATATCAAAATTTATAGATGTAATAAAGCTATTAGAAGAGTGAAATAAATAGAAAAATGTAGGCAAATAACTATTAGAAGCCACAGTAACAACAGGATATAGTAGTTATTACAAAAGATTCTAATATGTATATTAGAGAAGGCAGTAGCCTTATATAGAATTGAGGCTAAGAGAAATGCATGGTTTAATAGAGTAGTTAGTTGGAAGACCAAGGTTCAAGCCTGGCTAAGTGCAAGTTTTTTTGTACAAGTTGTTATTGTATTACAATCCTCTCAGACTGTTGTTAACAATAACTTTGACAATTGACAAGAACTGGTGAGTAGTGAACAACACCTTGCCCAGCTACCTGCAGTATTGTTATATAATACTGGCCACCACTGGTGGTTCCTCTGCTCGTCCCACTCTGCTTGAGATGGGAGGAGTTCAAGGTACTGCTAGGGAAGAGCAGTCGGGTTGATATAGTTCAAATCCAGTGTGGATAGATTCTTCTGTGTGGCCTATGTCTACACGTAGACTGCACACCATCCTCAACTGAGTGGGTTCATTCATCGTCGGCTAACAAGCTTGTAGAGTGTCTTCTGTCTTTAAACTGATACACCTATTTGCTAATTGCTCGAGTGATTACCTCAGCCTCCTCAGCCTATTGGTCTCTCAGACAGACCCCTCTCCGAAGATGAGTGATCAGTCTATCCCTTCAGCTGCCTTAATTACAAAGTAATCTCAAACGGCGCTTCAGCAATTGAATCTGGATGTATCGTTCAGTCTACAAGGTTCGGTCCAGTTGGTAGTTCATTGTTAGACTTTGGGAAGTCACAGAGAGTAAAGAGATCTCGACCTAATGTTACACAGCAGTAAAACACAAGTGTCAAGTTGAGTCGTCACAAGACAAAGTCTTCGTCTAAGACACAAGTCCATTCAGGAGACACTTCTGGTGATGTCCTTGCACTGAAGGTCAATCAGAGTTCATTCTTATGACTCGCAGTAGCTGTCTGCTACTAATGGTCAATCTCAGTCAGAGGCAAGTGAAAAGTTGGTTTAATGGTAATCAGGTCAAGATGAGGATCCAGCTCGATAAGGTCGTCTATTTATACAAAAGGTATCCGCAGTACTATGCAGTAATACGGGATCATTCATTGGCTAGATAAGGTGAAATGATGTCTGGGCAAGGTAACAGCGAGGAAGTAATATGTATGGGAAAGCTGAATAAGATCGTGAGAGATAATCAGTACTAATGGGGATACTGAGTTGTCATGTATCAGGACAAGGTGGCAGTGAGGCGAACATACATGTCTCGCATGCGTGATAAGAGGAAGGTCCGGAGTTAGATCTGGTGTAACCCTAGACTAGGGGTTCTGAACATCTGGATATTAAAGAATCGGAGGTTGCGCTCCGATGAGTCATGTGGTGGATCATGTGGTCTGGTAAAGTAAAGGGAATGAAGAAAAGAAAAAGAAAAGATGTGCCATAACTGAAGAGCATGGCCTGGTAAAGTAAAGGGAATGAAGAAAAGAAAAAGAAAAGACATGCCATAACTGAAGAGCATTGTAACAGTAATGGTCTCATTTTTTTGCACTGGGAGGTTAGATGACGGTGTTATGGTGGATGTCACACCTTGAAACCCCACTGCTGATGCTCGCAGCAGACTTCGGCCAGTGACTAGCCAGTGTGAGTGTGCATTACATTTCAGGTTAAGAAGGGACTCCTTCAATACCGATCTGTTTGAGCTCGTTCAACGTCAACAATAATGCAGTACTATAAAATCATACATATAAGAGATAACTAAGGGTAGAGGGAGGGGAAAGGGCTAATTGAGCAAGGTGCCGACTTGGAGGGTGTAATGGGTCGGTTCTGACAACTGTTACTCGTTATGGACTGCTTACTACTTACCTAAGCAAGTTGCTTTATATCCTTTACACTCACCATCTAGCTGTATCTACACTCAGTCTTAGCTTACTTTGGCTATATATTGAGTCCACTGCAGCCCTGGTGAGCATAAGGATCTAGGCTCCTTACAGAGGGGGTGCTGACGATCTTGTAAGCCATAGTATGATTCACCCATTAGTATACTCTATAATTGGTACACCAAAAATACTGTATATGAAGAATAAAAAAGGGCCAGAATCGAGAAAATGAAAAGATAGTCGAGCTCATTACCCCAACAATGATGAGCGCGACCTGATGTGCGGTGTGTGCACAGCATGTGGACGATGCCAAATAGTAGTTGGTGCCAATATTATATTTGCTGAGACACGTGGCCATATGCCTGGAGGTCTGACATGGAAATTACGGCAGTCTCCTTATAGTGGTAGGGTCGGCAGGAAATTAAATAAATTAAATGAAATTAATTCAAGCAAGTGAGAAAGTATTCACTCTGCAGCTTTGTGTGATGCCCAGCATGTCCTCAACTCCTGCACACAGGCAATAGTAAACATTGTTAATCTTAAGATTATATAGTCTGTTTTACTTACTTCAAGTATAAGTACTTGTAGCTCAATTAGGTGAGTGCTTATAGTCTGCATGTGTAAGTGCTTATAGTTTTTTCATACAAGCTTTTATGCTGCTGATTAAAAACATTTTCTTTTGAGTTCTGTTCACTGTCACAATTAAACACAAAGTCAATATACTGTAGCATTTCGACCAACTCGGCCAGAGCATCGCCTTTATACTATAAGCTCTTATAAATTTATGCTGCTTATCAGACTACATAATCTCAAGATTACCTTTGACATCTATTGACACAGGTGCCTTGGTGTATGGACATCGGGTTTCATGTCACTTACACAAAATCCAAGATGATTTTCTAGAGTTATATTCAAACCATGTAGTACAGTAAGACATGCAAACACAACTGCGGAGATTGCTCTTCTAGTGATGCAACTAAAGAAACCCAGGCTCTGTAAGTTTTACATATCAATGGCATGCAGAACTCCTTCAAATTTTCTCCTCGCCCTTCGGGCAAGAGTGCATGTCCATCTTATAGCACAATTAAACTTCAGCCCAGTATGGTTGCATTCACTGTAGCTATCTGAATGCAGTGAGGTTCTCCTGCAACCTAAAAAAATTTCCATGATATCACAAGTACTGCAAGTCATGATTTTTACCAGCAGAACATGCATTGAATATGAGAAAAGTCCCAGTGTGCAGATTTGACTGCATATTAATGTTATCATAGTTGTGCACCTCACCTGAAACTGTACATAAGCAGCCTTTTTATTCTATTTAGACAGCATATAATGCACTCAGTTACAGACACTAATTTTCATTAAAATGTGCCACAGAGTGTATCAGAGTGCGAGAAGCAACAGGGCGACCAACTTAGGTCAGAATGGCAAAGCCGAGTGAGCGCAGCAGTATGGCTGGAGGGCAGACAGACCAGAGAGCATCCTTGCAGTGACATGGAGGTCAGTGGATGCACCAGGACAAAGAGTCTCTATATATATTCATACCTTGCAGTGACACAGAGGTCACTGCAATGGCTGTAAGTAACAGTACATGTAAATAGGCAGAGGTAGATGTATGTGGATGCACCAGGACAAAGAGTCTCTGGGGCATCCAACGAGCAATGGTAAGGTATATACAGCACGATCAGCGCTGCCAGCTATAGCTAGCGATCGCGCCGAGGCGTTGAGTAGATACAGGTGAAAAAGGATAAACTGAACCAGGTATAACACATGTTTGGAGGAACATGCCAGGTTGTCTCCTCGGACTTCTGAGCTCCTCGGACTACAGATTGCGCACCACTAGTTGGCAGAGTGATACATAAACTACTGTACTGGTAGCATAATGGTTATGTATTAATGGCTCCCCTGACAGCTACTGATGTATCACTTATATATGAATGCCTGAGACTACAGTAGGGCCGCCTTTCCGGCACATCCGCCACCCCCACGCCATGTATCTTGCCACCTCGCCGAGTGCGCCTTCCCAACGGAGTAATTTCCAATTACATCAGCTCCCACCTGCCCGCCCACCTTCCCCGCCCTGCCCCATCTGGCGCTACCAAAGCTATGGGTCAGATCTCATCATCTGTATCAGATCTCCTCCAGATGATCAGATCCAGATCGACATGTCAGCGCTGCCTCACCGCCTGATATTCCGTGACATCATCCATGCCAATACTCTCGGAATTGCAATAAATACATTAATCTCGCTATCAACATAGGTAGATGGAGCAGGTACACACAAGAATACTATCAAACACTCTAGCCAACTGGAGAAACTGGTGCCACAATGCACGGACATCAAAATATATCAAGACCCTCACCACGCATGGACGTCTGCTCTACAAGTAGAGCCAAGTATCATACACAAGAAGAAAGACGTTAGTGAAAAGATGGCCACAAAACATGATACTTGCACTCTGAAATATACCGCCGCTTAGCAAGCGCGAAGCCTCAGCGCCCCCCACTACTCATCACTGTCAGCAGGGATCTCTCCGCTGTTCAACCACACCAGCACAAAACGGAATGCATATTTGGCAAATGCGGCCATTTCATGCTGAATGGCGGCCTGGTGATAGGTGCACATGATGAGCCCCTCCTGTTCCTCCACGGTTGCCATGGTTCACCTTGCCGCCTGCTCCTCCCACCAGTGGGCATGCCATTCATGAAACTCGGGGATGCGGCATATCTCTTCCTTGACCTGTTTGCATTCTTTAGTCCATTGATGCGCCCTGGCACGAGCCTTGCACCACTCAATCCGGACAGCTGTTATGAAAGGTTAGCAGTACAAATTGAGATGGAAAAAGGTAATGTGCGGACCTTCCTGTACTCGGGTGTCATTTAGATCATTGCTCCCTGCATCATCCTCGAGTCCTTGCACCCTTCAGATCCAAGAGAGCGACCGCCATCCCTCTGTATCGCCTTCCTCTCCCTCTATCATCTCACGAATATCCTTGTCTTCCAGCACCCTTAGGTCAGGTGGGACCATGCAGTGACCGACGAGCAGCAGACTGAGATGTACCACAGAAGTGCAAGCATGTCGGTACCGCACCACATCTGCATCTATCTTCTCCTGGACACCGGCAATTGTCGTCTTTGCCCTTGTATTGTGGTGCTGACCCTGCACGAACCGATCCTTCAGCTTGTACATCTGGGACCACAGGCGCAGGTGGCAACACATGTCATTGAGCACATTGAAAGCTTGAGCAACACGGAGGTGAAACTCGTAGATGCTCAGCTGGTCATCGCACGATATCTGGCCCACCAACACGATGCCAACCACCTCAGATGGCAGATAGAGCTTCATGTCTTGCACGGCCACCTCTTGTTCAGCACCACGCTCAGCGATATCCTCCGTCCACAAGCCTACAACCCCGGGCATGTACAGTTGTTGAGTTTCCATCCAATTGTCAATCTTCTGCTGCAATGCATTACGCCACTCAATTATCTTCACACGCTGGAGGTCTGTGGCATGTTGGGTCATCGCGGCAATATCTGTCCTGAGATGATGTCTGCATAAAAGATTAGTTTGACAATCATCATTAGGTGTCTGTGTACTTACTGTTGCTCTTGCAATTCTAAGCCAGCCATTATCATCATACTTGGGGACACTTCGTGGTGAATGTTCATCCTGAGCCCCCGCTTGAGAAGTTCAGCATCCTCCTCAGCCAGCTGCAAGTGTACGGCTGCCTGAGAAATTGCTTGGAACCATGGGGATTAGCACTATGCACACAGATCATGCAAAAGGACATACTCGGTTGCGTCACCGTAAGACGATTGGGAGCGTTCTTTGGGTCTGCTTCCCACGCTTCCACAATTTTTGTCCATTCTTGAACAAGGCCACCTGGGAGCACTGCAGTGAACTGTTAGAAGGAGGGGACGTGCTCATCATGTTCAGGTATGGCAGTTTTTATTTTGGCGAGAAGAGTTGGGGCTATCGGGCATGTAAGCTAGTGTATCTCACAACCACGAACTACATACCTTGATTGCACACCTTGCGCCAGTTGTAATCACCAAAAATATCATCAAGAAGGTCACACCGAGACCCAGGTCCCATCTCCTTGGTGCTCATGGCAAAAGCGTTGGTGAATGCCCATGCACGCTCTACGGCTTCGCCATCCGTGCATCCGACATGGGGGGTGTAGTAGAAAGAGTAGTCAGTCTGGCAGGATTGGCGGTGTGCCGAGGCATGGAACTTCAGGATGATGAAAGTGTTTCGACCACTGGCATGTAATGTCATATGAGACCACGATCTCCTGCAGCTCATTGTTGGCAAGGCTCTCAAAAAATACATAATCCATGTTGATATATCTAACCCACTATGTCAGTCACATGCTCACCATGCACGACAGATAACGTACCGTTCTCCCTTCTGCAAATCTCCGATGAAACACGGATGCTTCATGTCATGGTGAGCGCAGTCGACAGTTGTGATACCACTTGCGGCAAGTCCTGTGGAGCCCTTGAAGTTGGCAAGCTTCAACACATCATGCTCATTGCAGGTCGAAGGCTCTTCCAGTCTTGAAACTTCCCCAAATAGTCCTGGAATGCACCCTGTTCAACGAAGTACACAAACCCATGATTGAGACTCGGATCCTTCTCCACACTTGAGACCTTCTTCCGCTTCATTCGGAAGTTCCCATCAATCGCCACAAAGAGGCGGTCGAGCCACCTATGAAGTCAAACAAACTCAGATGTTGACACTCCTGACACGCACTAACAAACTTTTACCTCTCGGATGGCGGAGCATCTATCCAGTCCACGGGGAGATTTTTTTCTGAATGAGGGCATGCCGGCACTCCACAACACAGGCCCCGAGGGGCATCGTCAGAGTACATTTGTAGCACTACATGGTACTACTACCAAGAAATTGTGTGATGGAAGGCAAGCTAAAAATGTAAATTCCCATGAGTGTCCCACCATGCTGCAAGCACCCAGCATGCCGCTCATGGAAGGATCTGGACGTCTCCGGTGGCATCTGTGATGTTGAAGGCATTTTTTGCCTCTGCCTCGCTCAGGTACTGTTGGAACACAGCGCAGGAGACCCCAGTGATGAGAGGAGAAATGACAGTCCTAGCGGGGAGGGTATAAGGCTAGATAGTGATAGATTTGAATAAATTACTTACCATCCTTAGAACACGCCAACAGCGTGTCCCTTGACCACGATGTACCAGCATGGGGCAGCAGGAAGAGGGATCACCGGGGCTGCCACAGGAGGAGCAGGGGGAGGTGGGGGAGGTGGTTGCACAGCAGCACCGACAGCAACCACGTGGTATGCTGGGGGACGTCCAAATGCGACAGCAGCCATTGTAGCATGAGGAACGGGAGCATCAATGATGACGGGAGGCAAGAGGACAGCAGTTGGCAGCTGCAGGACGGGAGCGGTGGTGATGGCGGGAGTGGTGGTGATGATGGGAAGAGGTGGAGCAGTGGCCGGCTGCTCGATGAGGGTGACGGGATTGACAGTGGCCATGGGCTCAGCAATGGATGTGACGATGGGATGAGTGGGTGCCACAGCTGGCTGCTCGATGATGGTAACAGGAGTGATCATGGGAGGTGGGGCAGCAGCCAGCTGCTCAATGACGGGTGCGATGACTGTGAGTGTCAGTGTCAGCAGATCGACAGTGGGCACATCCTCAGGGAGCTCCACGGTGGGCTCTCCAGGAGTCGCCGCCACCGATGCAGTGGCTGCAGCTGTATACTTATTGTCAGTCCCACAGTAGTGTAATGAGGAAGTGACATACCCTGGAGTGCAGATACCGCAGTAACCAGCTGCGCCTGCATGTTGATGATCTGCTTGATGGCATCAAGAAGGTCCCCCAGTGCGAAGGCAGCAGGAACCTCTTTTGTGCCGGCCGACTTCGAGCTGAGCTGGGTCATGGGGATAGGCAGAGATTAAGATCAATGATCATATCTGTGGGGAGTGGTGGCCATTATATAGACCTCTCTCGCATGCTGATTGGATGATAAGCCTACTAGGAAAATGGAAACTCACCTTCTGAGATCCTCGATGCATGCTGAGATGGCAGGGGAATGCTCCAATTGGCCAGATAAGTGTCCGCCCACGTTCCTCTATACCCTAGCTTCCAGACTCATGCTGCTTTTCTCTCACTCATCTGTGTTATCTATCATGACTCTTGGCGATGACTTTGTTTTAATAATGGTGCCAAAGGGTTGGGCCTCAGCTGACGAGCTCGTGTTCTTGGAGGTGAGACTCGGGTCATTTTACGAGCACCAGAAGAAGGGAACGCTGCAAATGTTCTGGGACCTTGTCTGCCCTGCGTTCTTGCAAAGCTTCAGCGAGGAGCTGAAGATCTATGGTGCAGTGCCAGATCTGTCTGTCCCACTCTACAGCGAACACGCTGTGCTGCGCGCAGGAGTGCTGAGGGCCGCTATTGAGAAGCGGAAGCAGGTGAGTCGAGGTGACAGTGAAATGCTTCTCGTACTAATGCAGGTTGCTTTCGTAGCAAATACGGACTTGGTACAACAACTGATCCAACAAAATGTGTCAGGTGGGACACGCCAACCCCTTAATCACACCATTTTTGTCTGGCACAATACGCATGAGGTGGTTGAAGGCAGTCGAGGTGTATTCTCGTATGTACTACAAGACGAGGGTGAAGGACAGCATGCGTGACCAGATCAAGTCCCACAATTTGACACGGTCAGAGGTACTCGAAGTGATCAAAAAGGTGACTGGTGAGAAATTTGAGGGAGAGACTGCAGAGGTGAGGGCAGAGATCTTTGCTGAGGTCGAACACTTGAAGGTGGCTGTGGAGGAGAAGAAAGGGACTGATTCAGAGATGCAGGAGTCATCGCACACCAACTCCCAAATGTGAGTCTCCTCGCTCAGCGGTGACAGCACGCAAATTTACTTACAAGGAATGCAGGGTTATTGATGACTTGCCCACCATCCTCAAGCAGTTCTTCGATGAGCTCTGCCTTCACAGCGGCTTCAAGTTCTCTGTCGTCTGCTGCAGGCCTGTGCCTGAGGCAGGAGGAGACCTTCAAGTTCTTTTGTGAGTACTTCTACCATGTGGCGGTTCCAATAATGAGATCTGATCCCTTATAGCTTTCACAGCAGAGTAGATCAAAATGTGCACAATTTCGGCCAGTGCTATTCCGAGTACGACAAGATGTGCGAGAAGGGGTTCAGGCGGTTTATCAAAAATGTCTATCGTACATCTTCCTTGTTCTAAATATACTAATTATACTGATGCGGCCTCTTTTTCGAAGCACCGAACATCCATCTCGCGCGTGCGTTGAATTCACCTAAACCTGCGAATGAAGAGGATTCAGATGAGCCTGATATCACTGCAATGACTGTGGCAGATTTGGAGGCGCTGGACAACACCTTGAATAATGAAGATGGGGAGCTTGGCATCGTAGGGGCTCTCGCGTCGGGCAGGACCACTTCTGACAACATCGTGCGCAGACATGCGACACCTGTCAGCACTCAGGTGCCAGCGCGTGCTTCATCTGTCAATGACACTTCTGTCATGGTCATTCACAGCGTGGCTTCCTCCCTCGTCGTGTCATCGGCCGCCAACAACCCACAGGTTCTTCCGTGGGACCCTGACTTCGACTGGACTGGAATCCACTTACCCTCGACAAGCTCTTCAGCTGGGGAACTCATCCCGGATTTGGAGCCTCCTGCAGGTGATTGGAACTTCGCTGGCCTCGACCTGTCAGCATATGGTCTCGGTCTCAACCAGGCAAGCATCTTGGCACCACCTGATGTGCCGCCTGTCCTGCCTACTGTCGGTCTGCTCCTGCCTTCCATTGGTGGAGTCATGCCCACACTCATGGATTTCCCATTGGCCCCAGCTGCCGGCGGGGCTGCATTGGCAGCTGAACCAGTGCTCTTTGTTCCCTTCCTACCGCCCATCATCCCGACTGATGCCACACATGCAGCTGATACAGCACTTGTCACTCCCTTCCCGCAGTCTGATGCGCAAGTTGAATCTGCAGTCGAGCCAGCGCCTGACCTTCTGGTTGCTCGGTCCTCGCCCAGCCCGAGTCTCATCGAACAGTCTATCAAAGAGACTGTAGCAACAACTGTTGCGCCCGCCACCACCGATTTTGTTGTGCCTGCACTGAGCTCATCTCCGCCGAGGTCGTCTCTCTTCTCATCTCCTATCTCTCAATCCTCGCCCGGCAGTCTCATCGAACAGCCTATCGAAGAAACTGCAGCGATGATTGTTGCACCTGCCACCACCAATTTCATTGCACCTCCACCGAGCGCTTCTCCACCGAGGTCATCCTCTCTCATCTTGTCTCCTATCTCGCCAACATCCTCTGCACCCTCTGAACCTGTGCAGTCACCGGTGGACAAGTCAGCCAGCTCTGTGCCTGTCAAGGGGAAATCAGTAGTGAAACCGAGAGGCCGCCCCAGGAGAAAGGCCAAACAGAAGGACCAAGGCATTTCGGAAACTCCGGTCATGCATATTCAAGAAGGGCCTGCGGAGGTGCCCCCCAATGTCTCGATGAGTGACCGACCTTCGCGCGTGCGCAAAATGCCAGCACCGCCTGATTCGATATGACTGTACAGCGAGAGACGTCGAGAAGACCAGGAGAATGAGGTGCTCCAAATGCAGAAGAAGCGAGGTGCGGCAGGAGATGGCGAAGTGGGCAGAAAGAAGCGGAAGGTGGGGCCGTAATAGACATGGTGCGAGTGTTCTTGGTATGTATGGTTTCATCTCTTTCTCGCATTTATCGTCCAGTGTCGTAGTAGATATATCTTGAAGTGTGTTCTCAGCAGTGCCGGCATAGCAGTCAGTAGTAGATAAAATAATGTAAAAATGGTCATGACAATGTAATATTGTTCATGATCAGACAAGAGCACAATGATGGACGATCCTCAGAGACTAAGGACAGAATGAACTTAGTTCAAAGTTCAGGATTAGGTGTACTTACACAAAACTGGCAAGGAACTAAAACATAAAATATATTTTCAACATTGTGGCTAATAAAGAAACTATGTACTGTATTACAATGAGGTCAAGTGCTCGAAAACTGTGCTCCTACCTTCCATGCGTTCTCTTGCAGCGCAAATGTGAACTTCTCAGAGTACTTCAAACTCCGCAGGGTGAGGATGGGTGGAGCCCATCAGGAGGATCAGCCCGAGCCACCATCCCCGAGATCAGGTGAGATTTCAGATCTTAGATCAGGGGGTAGAGAGCGGCAAGAGGCGAGGAAGCAAGGGAGGGCGGGATATCATCCCAATCGGGCCCACAAAGTGCCTCGCCATGGGCAGGAGCGCACGGACCCGGCCAAGGAAGCCCACAGACCCGGCCAAGGAAGCCCACAGACCCGGCCAAGGAAGCCCACAGACCCGGCCAAGGAGCGCACCGGAACCCGAACAGGCAGGTCAGGCCACACTGGTGCCCGGGGAGCCGCCAAAACCGTTATATATCAGTGATACATCACTGTGCTGCAGTGAGTCTCTCCTACCATAACAGCCATTAATACATCACCCTTGTGCTACCACTACAGGTATATTATATATCAATATGCCGTCTAGGCCTGAATTGTGACAGAGTGTGTAGTTTGAGTAACTATGGTGCAGTGCCCAACCTTAGGTATGTGCTTACATCATAAATACCATTTGGGGCAGGTTGCCTGCTACATTGAGCAGGCACATGACGTGAGGCCGCCTGCGCCAGTAGGTTAGGTTTTTCAAGCTCTGCTAGGACCTAACCACCCTACTAGTACCACTATAAGGAGACTCCCGAAATTACCACGCCAACTGCCAAAACTTGACCTGACCCCGTTGGGCAACCTTAGGGCCTGTTCGGTAGATGAGTGATATCGATAACTCACTCGAATGTGCGATATTTGGCATATTCCGAAGGCTCTCTGAACATTCCCGGCTGTCACACGCACTTTTTGGTTATTGTTCTCACACATGATGAGGCTGACGCTGACAACGCTGACAGCGGCAAGGATTTCCAGGCCCATGTACAAGGTTTTCTGCACTCTCAAGATAGTGAGAATTATGCCATGCTAGATAGTTCTGTAAAATTTTCTATGCTTAGTGGCCAGAAATGGGGGTCCTGATCACTGTGTCGGTATTTGGTGTTACCCAATATGGCTCGCCGCCACGGCACTGAACAACGGGCGCAGCGTCGGGACATGGCGAGCGGCGCGCGCTGGATGGAGGATGGACCAATTGTACCGCTGGGTCACACCGGGTCACATAGCCGCTGTTGCCGGAGCGATCCCGAGAATCGCGGACTCGAGCGAATTATCGATATCACTCGTCTACCGAACAGGCCCTTACTATGGTTGATATTAAGTAATGTTCTTTTCATTAGGGAACCCCTCATGATGCTGGTTATGAGCTATTACTTGCTCTCTTCCATGTGTTGCCACATTTGCCAACGACTTCCTTGCCGTTTACGAGGTTTCTGGAATGCACCATGCAGAATTGAGGGAAAGATATCTCGGCCTCCCCGGCCATATCAGCGAATCCCAAGTCGGGTACGGGTACTTTACTCTGGTTCTGGTTGCAAGTTGAAGCCGTTTCGATGATGACCGCCGGTCAGGGTCTCATAGTCTTCTCACCTAGGTTCATGTCGTTAGGCCTGTCGCCCAAAAATCCGGTGTATGTGGCCCTTGGGTGGCCTAGGAAGAGGCAGCTTCTGACAGGTGGGGCCTCAATTGTCGCATCTTTCCGCGACGGAGACACTGTGGATACCAGCTGGTCACCGCGGCACCACCAGTGCCGCAGTGGTGTCACCAACCTGACTTTCGGGTGGTCTATTTCGTAATCTGCGGTATGGACTGGTTCTCCGATGGGGTCTATCGTTATGGGCCGAGCAGTCAAAGTGAACGATGTTTTCACTTCGTCCGGCCTGCCCATCACGAGGTACAATGGCTTAGATCTATTTCTAATTCTAGATGATGTAATTCTGGCCCTGAGACGTTTGACTCCCACATGCAGGGCTCAGCGATAGCTTCGCAGCGTTGGAGAAAAATCTGACATTTGTAGCGACACACTAACAGGGACGACAAAACATAGTCAAAATGCCGCTGCGCGTGCGGTGTGGAATGTCTAGGAACACCTTTCGCGGACGTGGACTTTTCCAACTGTCCGGAAGTTCTGTTGGGACTCGAGAAGCAGTTAGTTTGCGGCTCATTTGGCTCACCTGATGGGCTGCAGCAACAGGGGTCGCTCGGCGTAACTACTGATCCCCTGAAACAACCCCTCCCCTCCGGGACGCCCCGCCTCCCAAACTTCCTCATGCTTGAGATGCAGACCAGTCGTGATTACTCAGAACCTACCTATGAGAGCCCTCAGAGCCAGACAAATCAGATATGGACCCTGGTTTCTCCGGGATGCTGTAAGGCTTTGAGCCGCGACTGCTGCCGCGGTTCTGGGTCGGGTCATTAGCTCCGCACTTGGTGACAGCCTCAGAAGTGATGCTTGAAGGCGGCAAGTTACGTCGTGTGCACATCATTTCGCTGCCTTAGTGATTCATCTTGCCGTTCATGGTTTTCCGGTAGTTCGCGTAGCTGCTTAACTTGCTCTAACTAGGACCTGAAACCATTCTAAGAGCGACATACCTACCGCCTGCAGGGGTAATCACCCATTACTGCAGAGTCCTTCTGACATACCTACTACATCAAATAAAGGATCGCCCTTGTCCTTTTTGGGGACGCATGAAGACGATCGCCTCCCCAGCTCGCGGGCACAACGAGCAACAGACACGCTCTCGCAATGCGCAAGGTAAAGGCTGGCTGCTACAGTATTCGCACCGCTAAACGTCTCTAAAGCTCAAGCCAGGCACCGCGTCAAACGCAAGGCTTACTTAGAGAATGTAAGGGCTTCAGCTGTGTGTCCAGGGACATCGCGCTGACGGATCCGATCCGTAGTTGGAGAGTACCGTGATTAAACTGCAAAGCATGCTCTCCCTCTCTTCCGACGAAGTCGTCGCATTGCCTACGGCTCTTCTTAGGCTTCGCGAATTGCAGATAGAAAACGGTGATCTGCGCAATGAACTCAGAGAGATTCGCCAGCAGTTGGATGAACGTGTTTCGAGGCAACTCTCAGACACCTGTCATCCTGACTTGCTCCCGCGAAATGCACAGATCGATGTCGACCCAAAATTTGGCAAAATAATGACAGAGGATTTATATACAGTAGGTCAAACTAGTAGCTTACATCCGAGAAGAATCAATGCTTCTCACAGAAATATTTGGAGTCGCATCGGCACGGTTTCGCACCACCATCTTTATCCGCCTCGTCCGATCATTCCTCCCAGTATGTGAGACAGGAGCAGTCATATGCACGGTCTGAGGCATCCACCTCAGTTTTTTCCAATCAAGCAATCAAGCGGATGCATGGCACTGGATCCTCTGCCCTTATGCCGGAGCCGTTAATCCCAGTGGGTATTTTTTTTAAATTACAGCGTGCAATTATCTGTATATTGATGTTAATTTTTGGTTGAGCAGCCCTCTACTAGCGTGGAGTATCGCTCTCCTGATCACTTTGTACCGCCCCCAAGTCATTCCAGCTACAGCTTGGAGATACATGATGAATGTGTTCAAGTCGACGAGGAGTGTCCAACTTCGGTGGTGTGTACCACGCAATGCATCTGTTGTATTCCCTCTATTTATTCCTGACCCTCTCTCTTGCATCTTTACTATTAGAAAAACGTGCCTCATGCGAGCTGCTGCAGCTGGAATGCCCTATATCCCAACACCGTGTATTTAGACCGTACCTTCCACTGAATGTTCTTAGCTGGGTCTAGGCATTGTGTCTTTCACTCTGTCATAAAAGACGGCCGATGTGCACGTTATACTCAGCGCTTTAATTGAGGAGGCTCAACGCGATTGTGGATTAATAATTTCTGAGACACGTCGCGGTAACTGGTTCGAACTGTGACTCTTCCGTATATGGTTACCTATGCAGGATGAGATTGCGAAATGAAAATTGCTTTGAGAACACCTCTGATGCGCTGGAATAAACTTTGTTGCGATTTTGCAGCGGAACATGGCTAAGCTCTCGGTGCTGTTCAGGCGCGGAACTTGGACAAGTTGCTGAGCAAAACATGAGATTACCTCCAATTTTTCACAATGAAGTATTGGGAAAACTAGTCAAGACCTCGAATTGACCTAACTCACTTGCTCAACGCTCCCAAGTAGTGCTTCCTTGGCGCGTTCACAACTTGTAAGAATCACAAGTCACAGGATTCGGCTAGTTCCGAAGGACGCCGTGATGTTGAGGCATAAGATTTTCCAACCACGCTTACAGCCTTGTTGACCGCATATGCAGACGATTCGATGAGTACGTCGCTTGATCATCCGTTTTGGTTTTAGTGATGTGTATGTGTTCCCTGCAGCACTGTAGACATCATCTGTGTTTTGCCTGTGATGGCTTGGAAAGCATCCCACTGACTTTTGGACGTCCCGGGACCGGTTTGCGTATCGTGCCGAGGTCGCACCAGTCACCCTACAACTCTGGTCTTTATCGCTAATCGCGATTGTCGGGCAGTCAGATGGTGGTATATGGTGGCTTGAATCGTGCCTCGACGCGTGAGTGTGCAAATTTCTGTGAAGTGGACGCACGCAGATACAAATTCGATGAGCCCGGTTCAGTCTTGCAAGCGATTGGCAGCTGCGGAGGTGCGCCTCAAGCTCATATAATGTCAAGTTTTAATATTCCTTAAACAGACCTTGCCAGATCATCGCAAGCTGAGAGTATGACCGCGCCTTAGCTGCACGTTTACAAATTTGACGTCCCTTGCAACGAGATTATGGCATCCAAGGTCCTTTTGAGTATGCTACGGGCAGGACGTCGCCAGAGTTCGGCTTGGTGACGGTATGGAGTTCATTTATACTTAAGGTTGATTGAGGTTGATGCCGAAGTATTTGCAGTTCCGCTCTTCGCTCAGTGAATCTACATAACTCGAGAAGAAAGTGAGGATTCTACAGCCCCTTGAATACCATCTAAGTCATATCCATCTGTCTGTGCGGACGGCAGGCCTCATGAGTTTACTGGTAATGCTCTCCCGCTCCTCCTTCGCTGTGGAGTGGTGCCGACGCTCATCTTATCGCCGTCTACAACTTGTTATAGTCACCATTGTCAAGGAGAAGTCATTGGGGAAGACCACCGCCAGCGGCGCAAGGCCGTGACATACGATACCATGGACAAGGACGTCAACGTGAATATGCTTCCGCTCTTTGATTATATCGACGTACGGACTCGCTGCTACACCTTCAACCTCCCGTCGGGTTTGTTCTCTGCTACACAATTCGCTTAGAAGGACTCTGCGCTTGCTGGGCGCTCGCTTGGACAGTGCTCTGCCTTGCATTCGATCACCAACATTCTGCTCATCTTGCTGACGTCGTCTTGGGGTGGAATCGTTATGTCGCGCACTTTAGACTTGACGTGCAGAATTGGTCAAGATTCGTGATGTGAATCCGATCCGTATCGATGTTTATGCATGCGGGGGTGGTCGACAATGTCGTGCACCACACAACGTGTCTCCTCAAGATCGTCAACTACAACAGCGCCGGTAAATTGGTCCCCCTGCAAGCCATGGCCAACGTATTGAATTACCTGTAGATAGGGAATGTGGATACTTTGAAGGTATGTCGGTCCTGTATTCATTGATACGAAAATTGACTATTCTGTGCAGTTGACGGATATGTTCATCGTTGACCAAGTGAAGGAAATACTACATTGTGGAATCTTGCGTTATGTCCACTAAGGCCCAGCAGAAGGCCGAGGGCTATATGAAGTCAGAGCTCGGGTTCACAGTAGTCCTGCTCTCGCCCGCGGATCGAGGTTCCCTTCCATTCCTGGTAATTGTGCGTTGGGTCGTGATGTTCCGCACCTGTACGTTGTTGTTTGAATCGTGTGTATGATCTCGCTAATCATCGTTGCAGAAGATCAACCCGGTGCAGTTGAACCACGACACTCTACTAAATGTACACACGAAACCTGATCGCGAAGCCATTTCAGGAAACTACAGGGCACGAAGTGATTTTGTCAGTCACATTCGTGCTCTACTCTATCATGCGCAGAATGCCAACTAATTGAAATCAGTTCGAGGGTGAGATTGAGGCTGAGGCTGCTGCCAAGGTCTCCGCCCTGGAAGCTGTCAGAGCCCATGCACCGGCAGCTGTGTCCATCGCAGTCGCAGCTTCTCTGCTGTGGCTGCTGCTAGTAACGAAGAGGTCCCTCGAAGGCCGTCGAGATTCTCTCCACGGTTAACGTGCAGACTCAGCAAGAAGGTGGAGGAAATTTCGCATTTGAAATTGATCAAAGACCTCCTCGACGGCCAGTTGACTCTTCAATGCAAGGTTCTCCACGGCCTGCAAATGGACTTCAACTCTATTTCCGAGAGGATTTGCTCCTGGATGAGCTCTACTGGGCTCTTTGGCGTCGGCTTCTTGGGGTCGTTGGGGTCGTCGGACAAGTGCAACCCGAACGTCGTCTCTCGCGTCGTGGGTAGTAGCAAGTACCCTGGCGGTTTCACCCTCTCTACAGTCAAAGCCTACTTTGTGGAAGACGCGAAGCTCTGGGCCCGTCTTGGAGCCTCCAAAACGTCTTAGTTCTTAGGTAGAAACTAAGGCGTGACTTGTTACAGTCATTACACTCAATGTCCACCATGTTGCTGCTACTAGCATGAGCGATAGAAAAGTCGGCGGAGCAGGCGGTCCAAACGATGAAAAGCGAGTAGTTCTTCCGGTTGCAGACTGATGAAGGGCGGTTAGCGGCGTAACCAATCGGGCTCTATCCGCTATACCTCAAGCACGGTTCGCGAGGGAGCGAAATCGAGTTCGACGCGGGGAAAGCAAGCATTGTCACCCTGCAGTCAAGACTCTTTAAAGAATGCGGTGACAGGCACATTGATGGCGTCCCATCACCATTGACCGTGAGGTTGCTGCACGTTGTGTCGAGATTATGAATTGTGCTGATTTGGAGCTCGTGATACATATGCGTTACACCAATCAATACGGCCACAACCTCGGCGATACTGTCAAGCTTGCACGGCAGCTCAGCCGGCAGTTTATGGACAATTACCGAGAGGTTTTCGGGCAACGTCCTGTTGATAAAGATGGCAAGTATGTCGTCAAGTATATATGTGTCATGGCGCTGAACAGCCCATTTTAGTGACATTTTCAAATGCCCCACGTACTATGGAAGTGCTAAAGGACATCATTTTGCTCTGAGGTCGTCCGCAAAATATGTTCGCAAGTTTGAGGCGATGCGGTCTCGACGTGAAGGCCCAACCGGAGATCGGCGAAGTGCGTGAAGGCACGAAGGTATCGTATGAGCACTTCGCAACCGACCCGAATCTCGTCGTTCGTGATCTGAACTGCTGAGCCCCTAGATGTCTAGCGTCGCGTCCACGCTCATCTGTATACTTAAATACTTGCTCATCTACTCATGTTCCTCCTCGTGGTGCTCTGTCAGTCGCTACGGAGGTATCTTTTATATTACCACGACCAAGTGAGCAGAACGAATTACGGTGAAGTGAGCGTCTGTCATATTAATGGCATTCACCTGCAGTCGAATTCCGTGTGCACTCCTTGCGCGTTCTGGTCATCCCGGTAGTCAACTCCTTCGCAGTTCGAAAGAGGTACGAGGGAGATGTGCATCAGTTTGCTGGATGAAAGAACAAAACATTGCCGAGGAAGGTCAACAGTAAATGACAGCGGCATGTCGGACTTAACCTGAGCTCTGCGAAGCGCGACGGTGAGATTACTCTGGTGTGAAAACGCACGGCTCGTGCCACGATAGTCCATCTCCCTATGGCAAGCAGGTTATCAGGAGCGCAGAAACATGTTAGAGGAGGCGATAACCTCACTAAGAAATGTGCATCACTGCTCAGCCTCACTACAGCAAGACAGGTATCATCGAAGGACCAGAATACAATGGGCTTCGCGATCGGCGCGACGAGGGAAACTTGTCAGTGGAAATGCACCGTCCACATTATTTTCTATTTTTCTATTGAAAGTATGTCATCCAGTGCCAAAAATCGCGCAGGAAGGGGTGAGCCTCGTGATAAGATAAACCAGTTACTCCATCTCTGGCTGACAGCGAGACACAAAGAATGAAGAGATCGTGGAGCAGGGATATTAGTAGGGTAGGCATTCTTTGCGCGTGTTACGCTTCCACCAGGGAGCTACCAACCGCAGTATGCGGCATCAGACAGGCTATTAGAAAAGGTTGACTGCGATGCGCGATTCAGCCATCTCAGTCATAGATCTCGTCGTGTTTGAAGTCTATTATTTTCCTTTCCTTGCAACATACAAATATTATCAAGACAACGGTTTACACGACAGACACTGCAACATAAGAAGAAAGCTATCACTGAGCCAACTACGATGATGTAGATTTTAGACATATGCCAGACCTGCCCAGGTGCTAATCATGCCAATCATCGCCGCCGACCCCAGGTGCACAAGTCCATACCCCCTTTTGGTGCTTTCATCTGGCTTAGTCTGAAGGAGATTCGTCAAATCTTGCACTTCTTCGGCACTACCTCCGATCACAAGCCAACCATCATCCGAATGGGGTCGATAAACGACCGCGATGCGTACGGGAATTTGCTTCATGGCTAAAAAATCCTTGACCTCAACAATATCCGGCGAAGAAAGAGTAAATACGTGGGGTGTGAGGGGATGCGTGTCTTCTGTATCAGTTTCTGCTTGCAACGTCAATGCTCCCTCGAGTGGTTTGGCAAGCGATCCTCCCGAAGGGACTATGGTCATCTTCGCGATATCGTCAGTGACTGCATTTAATAGGAGCTGGGCGCATTGTCCTTTAGGGTGACCGCGCATCGGCTTCTTACATGTTCTGCAGCGCCGGGTTACGCGAGGAGAGTCCGTAAGAGTAGACACATTGCTAGGTAGTACTGCATTGGGCATGTTGTCCGCGTGATGAGATGACTCTGGTAATGACCGAGCAGTAGGCATATAAAGATAGGAAACAGATATGACAGGTCGCTACTCACCGGAGCTCTTGCTGGAACTCTTCTTTGATATGCCGAGCATCCTCAATCTGCCCGAGTTGCCCTTTGCGAGGAGGAACGCGACAGCTTCACCAAAGGTGTCCACGCGCCGAAATTTGCAATAACCGCGGTTTGAATTGCCGCAGAGTGGAAGTATATCATTGCTGTGGATCCCAGGTTAGTATTTAGGTATAAGACGAAGTAATGACATAGGAACGTACTCGTAATCAAAGGTTATGTACCCACACATACTGTGGACGTGCCAGACGGGATAAACGGGCGAGCCCGGCAGTACCGAATTAAGAATCGTGCTCTTGGCGGCACGACATAGTAGAAGATCCGATACCAGGCTCGAACTGTGCAGGGAGAAGAACGACGCCTGCTTGTCATGTATTATTTCGGCCGTGGCCTTCTCGCTGCATTTCACCACGATTGGAAAGCATACATCGTCCCTGTGTGATGATCAACAGAGGTAAATGCATGCAATGTAAACAACGCACTCGGAGGACGATATCGTAGGCAGCCCAGGTCCAACTCTAGTGAAGTAAGGCATGCCAACAAGGGACAAAAGAGCGTGAAGGTTTTTCAGGCTCAACCGAGTCGCTTTTTGACATCGAATCACCAGGCCGAATTACATGCCTCAGCGTTCAGGAGAGATACATGTGCCATGCTGAGCAAGCTGAATCTAGGAGCCGAACATAGATAGAATGTCAGGGACTGTCTTCTATCCTTCCCATGCTCTCACATGAGAACGTCAACCGCTATCGCATTTGGACCTCTCATCAATCAATATTGATCCGAGGGGAGTGAGTCGTATCTTCCCAATTAGTACCTTCGAATTGCGACTCCGGGGACGCTGGCCATAAAGATAGCGGATAGCGTACATAAGCAGATCACATCTACTTGTGGGTGAGCGGCGCTGCATTCGCACGTCATGTCCGATTCCCTTAATCACAGAACTGTCTTCTTCACCTACATGCATCCATTGTTGCTGTTGTCCACAAACAACGGCTCTTATCGGAGTTCGCTACCACTTCGAAGATGCTCGAAACAGTGAGAGATATGATGTCCTCGTGCATCGTAGTCAAGTATTAAAAAATAGTAATGTGAGATCTGATGACAAGGAATTGCAGAGCTATTCAGTATCTGTGTGGTCATATCCTCGAGTGGGAGACCCAGCATAGATGAAGGCCAGCGGTGGCAACGTAGGGGTGTATGTATGCCCGGAGCATGGACCGGTCCCTGGCAGCCACGCAGACACTCCAGCGCTGAGCGCACTGACTGTAACATTTGCACCACCACAATTAAAGGGGTAGAATCGACCTGATTGTTGGTTCGGCCAGGTATTCCCAGATACCCAGGTAGGATCCGTCTGCACGGCATTTTGCCCTGCTTCATATATTGCAGCAGCGTAGGAAAATGGAATGGCGCGGCTTGCGAATGGCGAGGACTGTGTCTGCTCTAGCGGCGAACTATCCATGCTGAGGAGGGAGTACACCGTTTCTGTGGGAGAGGCAGATGCAGACTGCCGAATGTCCGCTGGAAGTGCCAGTGACAAGGATGGATAGGATGGTTCACATTTCCTGCTTAGAGCTTGATTCAATATGCTGGGAGATTCGGCAGGGGTGTGTGGGAAATGAGCAGGACCAATTGGGGAGAAACATGGCGCGGGTTCGCCTGTTGCCCCACTTGAAGGCGAAGATGGGACAGCTAAGCCACCGCGCTGATTATCAATTCCATCTCCATCATTGCTAACAGCATCTCCGTCACTGCTAACAACCAGTGAGAAGTGTCTAGTGAGTATGCTTGTATGTATGTGACGAACCGCTGCAGATACATATGGCCCACCATGCTCCCGTGTTGCGACTCACACTTCAGCGGGTACCGAAAACCAGAGGATTCAAGGAGTTCCCTTGGTATTTCAATAGACCGAAGGTCTGGCCGGCTGGACGGGTGTTGAAGCCTGCCTGAACGGACGTCCTCTTCAGTGTAGTACGATATGAGGTGGTAGTCCAACCCGTCAGTCTTGACAGTAATTGTCTTGTCATCATGAAAGTAAAAATCACGGATGATAACAGAGATATGAATGTATCTTCACCTTCTTAATTAGGCCATCTTGTTTAGGCACACATATGACACCTCTTCGCGTATAGCACTCCTCCTGGGATGTATAGCACTCCTCCTGGGATGCAGATCGCTCTGAATGTTCGTGGTTGATGCCAGTATCCACTCGATTCGCAAGCTCTCGATAGGTCTGGGATTTTTGAGTACTTGTCAGCAAGAACCCATAGATCAGCACACCGGCACTCAGTACCATGCATAGAGGAGTCGCAAATTTGTACACCATGTTACAATCATACACTCACAAGAAAATTTCCCGCAACGCGGGACGGCGACCAGCTCAACCCCTCAACCCATCGCTTAATTCCACTTTCCTTCTCACAGAAGATGAAGATAGCACCGCTCTTAACCACGGATTGTCGTTCGGGTACGGTCAGGCGGCGCGTGACTCGTGGTAAGATTCCCCGCCGAGCCGCCTCGAATCAGGGTGGTAGGATGACAAAATCATGTATGATAGAGGACGCAGTCAGTCGACTGCAAGGGGAGAAATGAGCAGTAACGTACCATTATTAGACAGAGGGCATCCTCTGTGGTGGGTACGTACCCATGAAATGGCCCAACCTCATAGGTAACCGTGGAAACAGTAGGGCTCGACGCCATAAGTCAGAGGGCAGCGTTGGAGTCAGCCACAGAACTGGGTAATTCAAGGTGTAAGAGAAAACTAGATCCTAATGTATTTCCACCTGACCGACGAGATGGACGGTTCTTGTGGGAAGTTCGTAGTCGAAAACGCCCATATGCCGTGAGTGCGTTCATATCACCAGAATGTCAGCAAATTGCCGGGGAAGGGCCCCAGTGCGGCAATACGGAAGCTATCGCAGACGTTGAAACTTCGTATGTCAGGGCTTACGGAAACATTTCGATGATAATTCAAGACAAACGCAATAAAAACAAATCTATTGTAACGGGCTTTGGATTCTTCCGCCGCTGCTTTCTGCGTGATTTCTTGCTTCTGCGAACGATCTGCGAAAGTAGATAGTGTGCAGGTAGCAGGTGCGAAGTTTCAATATATTCACGTTTTGAACGTTCAGCACTTTGAACATTGGATGCTGAGCGCTGAACATTGAAAATGGAAACCTCGGAGTCGAACCTAGGAAGACCTTGCAAAAGCCCGGTCAAATTTGACGCGATTGCTGGCGATTGTGGCCGAACGCCAGCGATTTTAGGCGGAAGTCAAGTGGTGACGCGCACATGCCCGCATGCTGGCAAACTAGTACTGCAAAGACATCGGAAGAAACTCACATTCTCGTCGGAGGTATCTGTGTGGTACGGTACTCTTCTCACTTCCCACTCCTGGAGTTCTTCCTTCTACATACCATTGAGTATCCTCTGCAGCATTATGAACGACGCGTACGAGCATACTGGCAACGAAGCAGAAATTCAGAGGCGAACACGGAGACGACCAAGAACTACGACAGCGCTTTCTTCCTATGATGAAGTTGAGAACGCAGTGACCCTACGTCGCTGCCAGCTATCCTGACAATATCCTACCAGAACGATAGCGTGCAGTGTCTTTCATCGCGTCAGCCCCCAGAATCGCCGCGGCCGCGAGGGCGCGGAGCGGCAGGGTTAATGGTGGATGCCGGCGACGCGGAGGAAGACGGAGCGTAGGCTCGTGGTTGGGCGCAGGCTCGTAATGGCGGCGGTGAGGGGGGCAGTACTGGACAGGCGCGCTAAAGTCGAGCGGGGGCCGCCGCCAGCTCCTCGCTTTCGTCGTAAATGAATTTGCTGAGGGGAGAGATCGGGGCGGTGTCGTCATAGCTATAGTCGGCAGGAAGGTCGCAGCGAGAGCGCCAGTAGAGGAATATTTGGAGGGGCTCAGAGTGTGCATAGCCCCGCGACAGAATATTTACACAGAGATGTCACATTTTCGCGTCTGTCACCGCTGGCCGCGTGTAGTTGATGTTTCGTTAACGTTGATGCTCCCCGGTGCCAGGTCCGCGCGAATCGTACGCTCTTTCACCGCGATTCAGACATCTGGTTGTCCGCATGTCCATCGCACGGTGACGAGCGCCCCAGGAGAGTTTGCCCCATTGCAAACACTCGTGAGTTAGACATGTTATGCGGACACTTTCCTGTGAGAATGTCTTCTCTACTCAAGCATCGCCTCCGTAGGCTTCCGTGGGCCATACGACGCCCTCACCCCTCACCAAACATTAATTTGAGGACATGGTCGAGTTCGAGGCTGACTCTGATCTTTTTTTTTCTTTCACCTTCATGAATTTGTCTACTCCACGGTCCTGCTCATCCCCTAGTCTTTCCGACATCGCACTTTCTGGCCCTGCGGGATGGTCGCAACGCTGAGTGGATTACCAGAGCTCCTGGGCAACAGCGGCGCCAGGTCGATCCTCCGGTGCGACGTATGTCCCAATGGCAGACCGCACTTTGTAGTACACGTAAGCACCGAATATTCCTACGAAATCACGATGTTTGTTTCTGTTTCACTGAGAGATGAGTCAGTTTACTAGTGTCCGGAAGCGCTGATAAGGTGCTGTGTTGTGTTGAAAGTGACAAACAACAGTCGACTCACAAGCCGTTTCTCTTTTCTGGATGCTAGTTGTGGAATGATTGCTTCGTGCTCATCTAGAAATCATCCATGGGTGTATCCGGCATACTTAGTATTGTATCGAGCGTTACATGCATTTGTAAGTCGCCTCCACTTCAAGGCAGTTTACACGCACACCATGACCTTACTCCAGGAGCTGGATGGATATAAGACGCGGCATTTTCTGCTGAGGAGGTGGCTCAATGGAAGTGCGCGCAGACGGTTACCAGGTCCTGTAGTATATAATCAGAAATTAACAAACAGAACACGCTCTCGTGCTCTCCTTCTTTGTCCTGTTTCTGCGAATGCCCAGGATGACAAGAAAGCTGACTATGGAACGGTCATTGGTATCGACTTGGGTACGGCCTACTCTTGCGTAGGGTGAGCGCCTTCACGCGATGTTGTGTCCCCAAGTCTCACAAGATGCTTCAGTGTTCAGCAGGCAGGACGAATAGAAATTATTACCAATGACCAAGGTCACAGACTCATAACACCATCGTGGGTCAGTTGGGAAGAATTCCCATCATTCGAACCCGGAGAATAAGTACGGTGTTCGATGCACAGCGTCTCATCGACCTTAAGTTCAACGACCAGGAGTCAAGCGTGACCAGAAGCACTCGTACGTGTGTACCGCTGTTACAGCCGGTCGAGTATCTTACACGGTCCCAGGCCACTCAAGCTCACAAACAGAGGCGACAAGCCATCAGATACCGTGGTGACGCTCGTGAATTTGTAAGTCCGTCAACTGTGTAAGTCGTGCCGTCTCATTTCTTCCCAGACTCCCGAAGAATTTTCGGCTATGGTACTCGGAAAGACGAAGGAGACTGCGGAGACGTACCTCGGCAAGACCGTTACTCATGCCGTCATCGCTGTTCCAGCCTGTGAGTTAATAATTTTGACCCCCGTCTGACCTCGTATGGAGACTTCAACGACCCTCAGGGTCAGGCAACATAGGATGCAGGCACTATTGCAGGTCTTCCGGTACTTCGTGTTATCAACGAGCCGACGGCTGCTGCCATCGCGTACGTTCTTGAAGAAGGGCGGCGAGTCGCAGAACATCTTCTACGATCTTGGTGGTGGTACCTTCGATGTGTATCTTTTGTCTATAGACGAGGATGTCTTCAAGGTGTTGGCAACCGCCGGTGATACTCACCTCGGTGGTGAGGACTTTGACAACCGCCTCATGGAATACATGACCAAGCTATGCAAAAAGATTCGCTGAACCGATGTCTTCAAGAACCTGAGGATTCTCGGTGAACTCAAGCACGAAGTTGAGAAGGCCAAGCGCACTCTTTCCAGTCAGCAGTCGACCCGGCTTGAGATCGAGTCCTTCGAGAGCGACAACGACTTCTCGGAGATGCTCACCAGGGCCAAGTTTCAAGAGCTCAACATGGATTTGTTGCGCAAGACCATGAGGCCCATCGAGCAGGTACTCAAGGACGCCAACCTGAAAAAGGAAGACACTGACGAGGTGCGTTATTCCGTTACGTGGAGAGTAAGGTTATTCACTGCTCACACAAATTATTCTCGTCGACCCAAGTTCCCAAGTCCAGCAGTTGCTTAAGGAATTCTTCGGCCACCAAACAGAGTGCCGAGGACCGAGAGCACAAGGAACCCTCACAGGGTATCAGTCCCAACGAAGCTGTTGCCTATGTTGTCGCTCTCCAGGATGGTATCCTCTCCCGTGACGAGTCATTGGGCCACGTCGTCCTCGTTAATGTCTGTCCTTGACTCTTTATATCGAGAGCGAGGAACAGAGGACGGCGACGAGGTCGGGGAAGAGACGCGTGCAATGCTGAGTGCTATCTAACGTGCGTACCAAAAGCCGTATTGCACAAACATCACGGCTGGTTGGGTTGCACATACCTTAGGGATGGAGTGCGCTGCCTACCCACTGCTGAACTGAAAATAAATATACCAAAGTCCAGAGATTTGCAAGATATTGATCTACGTCTGTATGCCCGACCAGAAGCCTGCCAGAATATGCATACCCATGTCCAAAAGGCTGTGAGTTGTAGACATATACCACTTCGCCTGCCTTTTACAGGGCGCTGCATCGCGATACAATCTGACCCGCCTGCTCACATACCCTAGTGCTGCAGACTTTGGACACTTTTGCTCATTGGCACCACATGTTAGAGTGCAACTTCAGGCTCTGACATCCTCAGATATTCACACAATCCTCCGAAGGATTTTCTGTCGTAGTTCTCAATTGTACTACTACCAGTAGAGGAGCTCGAACGTTTGACAGTTTTGGTATGGCTGAGGTTTACGCTTATCGAAGGACTGCAGCGATGCTTGTCCCTGGAATCTACTCCGTTTGTCCGGCACGAAAATCCGAATCTACAAGTTTACAACGGCTAACCCCTATTTCCTTTGCCCACCAACTCTTCTTATTCGGAGCCATTAGAGAATACACATCGCACACATCTGCATTCAGATGAACACCATTATCCCGAACTGAACACGCATCCTGGAATGATAAATCAAACCTGCATCGATGTGCTGGGAGTAGACAGATTGACTGTAGAAGCGGCCTCCTCCACTGGAATGCCAGTGTTGTGATCACTGGTTGTGTCCTTAGGTGACTGGATCCGCAGCGTGGTTAGGATGTCTTCATCGACTGCAGCATTGCGACAAGCAATTTCTCGACAGCGGATGATAAGGAGGTCAAATGAGATGCCGGCCATCTCCAACTCCTGCGGGGAACCAATAAATTCAGGTGATACCCTCAAAAAGCCTAAGGTACTCACTATATCTCCCATTGCGTACACAATGTTGCATCCCGTAAGGTCCGCAATGTATGCTATCACAACAACAGTCGTGTACACGAGTGCGGACTCAACGAAAATGCGCATAATGGCCTTTAGGCCTATCATGCCAGAAGTCTCTCTCTGGAGCAATTGAGCGGACTGCTGGTGGACAAACCATATGTAGCATACAATGAGAACTACAACCTGAAATTAGGAGCAAGCACGAAACCCATGTTTAAACACTCACCGGTGGTTCCCATGTTGAGGGTGATGTTTAAAGCACCAAATGCAGAAATAAACACTTGTAATTCGGGGGCGGCGACGAGTGAAGCACCCGGGAGCAGTGTCGCCATATAATAGACTTGGCCAACTGCACAAACGAAAACACCAATCCACAAAACAATAGGCAGCACTGGAAGGGGCTGTCTTGCTTTACAGATCACCCAACATCGATACACCTTCAAGGGGAAGATTACGATGCGACAGATAAAAGGGGCAGATATCGGACTAACCAGCATCCCATCCGCTACAAGAGTAGCCATCATAAGACAGGTGGTCTACAGTATTGTGAATAACGTGCATATTCGAGTCGAAATTAAAGGCGCACCCTCATACAATTAACCGGGTTTGAGATGTCTGTAAATACAGCTTCTGCCCCTCCGGAGCCAGAGTGAAAGACAAAGGCATCCAAGTTATAGTAAATATTGAGCACAACGTCTACTACGCCGAGCGCGTAGAGAATAAGGGCGACCAACAGGATCGTCCAATTTTTCCTTTTGGGAGATCCGCTCCGCTCCCAGCGCGAAGGACGGAGACAGTGTCTCAAGGTCAGTGTGTGAACACCGAGAGCGACACTTTCGAAAGATAATGAGAGTAGATGGCCACCGACGAGAGAGATCATGGCTAAGGAATGAATGGTCCGGGTCAATGCAATGCTCTCACAGCCCGTATTTGTATCTCATGGTAACCCAACTCCGATACCACGAGCATGTGACCACGATGCTAGAGTGAAAACCGACACAATTTGTGTCCCAATTTCTCGGCCGTGCTTACCATAGACTCATGCTCCCATGTGAGTAAATGTCACTCCGACAGAAGTGTTGGGTTGTATTTGCAACACTGTCTGATCCGAGGGCGGCATGTCGATATCTGTCACTTCCGAAGTTGTATGCTGTCGACCTGTTCAAGAGAAATAAAACCACGGAACGCACAAAGCCAATATACGGCTGCAGTCTTATCAAACGTATGGGCGGTGCTACAGTCTCACGAATCAGACGTCCGAAGCACATCCAGAGAAAGGTATCAGTGAATTGGGCTCACTTGATTCGGCATTATAAAACATGAAAATCAATGATGTGAAGTTGTATAAACTAGCGGTTACTCGCTTCTTGATTTCCGCTGAACGGCAATTGCGTGCCACATCAAGTATCCTACATGCTATACATTCAATATCTGGAGATTGGATTCAGTGGGTGAATATCGTCAATCAAGCCGCAATGTTGAGAAGGTGGAAATGAGCTTTCAGCACATACAGAATGAGCCCGTTAGGTCTTTGACACCGTCGCGCCAAGCCGCTCACTGTTTGCTTCGAATTGAGCGGTGGCTAGAATGCTTGTGACATAAGCTGCTAGGTCGGCAGAAATTCACGCTAGCTTGCTGGAGGGTCTTGTGGGAGAGTTGGTGACAAACTGCCAAATCTGCTGGAATCTGCCCTGAATGTAGAAGAAAATCACGGATCAGCGTCTAGGCAAGGAAGATAGTGGTGGGCGACTCTCCGTAACGCGGCTTAGAGGCGACTTCTCTGCATTTTGCATCCCAGACAGTCACCGCGTAGATAGGCAGCAATTACAACCGTGTTCCTCCTAACCGACCAATCTGGGACTCCGAGGGCTACGGACGTGAACTTTGCTTTAGCGCTCGTCCCGCTCACTGGGATCGTCACACTTTGTCACGGTCGGCAGGTCACGCTTGCACGTTCCGAACTTACAAAAATCTAGAAACGTTGGCACGGGAAGTCACCCTCAATCCTTATTATATAGAAGAGAAAGTAAGCTTTTGGTACAACCGGTAACAGTCTGACTCTGAATATTTTGTTACTTGGTTTACAGGGACGGAACTCCCGGGTGGACACTCGACTCGCTCGTTTTCTCGTTTGTCCCGACCGCCCGGTCACGAATCTCTATCGTAATGTTCATGCAGAATGAAAATATGATTGTGAACAGAACTGAGATCGCTTTGTCTACTATATTTGGCATGGTTGAGTAAGCTCGGAGTCCATCCACACAGCGCCAGTGCCAACGGAACATGTCGCAATAGCTAGCGGGCTCTGCCGTGCTTGCGCAGCCCTACGGACTTACAAGTGGAGGATAGCATTGTCGCACACAAAGGGAAGGAGCAGACCGGTGCTCAGATAGCGGGCATCCCTAAAAGGCCTAGAGTCAGCAACCCGGTTTTGAACAAGGAAGCCAAGATCACGCGTGAGTCTCGATAGAACAACTCCAACTTCTCCGGACAGAACTTCGTATCGATAAGCCCGTCGCTAAAATTCAGGTATAGGCGACCCATCGATATCAACTTAGCCGCGATTATTTAATAGAGTTTTTCCCCGGGGAAAAAGGTGGGGAAAACCCCAAGAGAATTCTCAGGGAAAGCTCGTAATAAGTTCAACCTGTTTTCTATTGCAATATATACTCCGGCATGCCCCTCGCGGCCTCTGTCCCTCGTCCGGCAGTCGGCAAGACTCCGTGCCACTGTCCGTTGTGTGTTCCCGCCTCCTACATTCTCCTAGGTTCGGAGCAAGCCCTTCTCCGTGCTGGCTTGCGTCAGGCTCCGGCGTGCTGCAGGACTCGCTTCCGACACCCAGCGGTGCTGTACATGGAGCGTGGCCCCACAACTTGGTCTCCTGTCAGTCGCCAGTCATGACAACTGCAACATTGGTACTGTGTACATACCCATCGTTGCCTATCTTTGGTGTTCATCTTGCCGTTCATCTCCGGCCGTCTAGAACTTGCTTTAGTGATCATTGTCTCACGTCGTTACGGTCTCGCAAGTCTTGCTGTTCCGACACAATGGGGCATTTCGTAGTCCGCTTCGTGATTTAGGAACGCTCTAAATCCTACGGGAAGGCATCCGATCCCACCGATTGGCGTCGACGTAGAGATGGGTGAAAATAAATATAAATAAGATCTAAAAAGGCAATAACAGATCCTCGCTCCGTCTTTTACTGGTTTTAGGCGCCCTTTGCCAAATTGATTGGAGTGCTGGGGTTGGTTCCGGTCCAATATATTTGAACGGACGGGGAAGATATTTTCTATATTCTCTCTCCTGCTCATTCTAGGACGGGTTTTTAAAAAGTGATCTGTAGATGCGTGAATGGGAGGATCAACCGCATGAGGTCATTTCGCCGAAACACCGAATCATAGAGTTCAGAGCCGTGAAACACATCCAACCGTAAGTAGTTCCCAGATTATCTAGAGATCGCTCACGCAGACTTGCTCAGAGTTTGTTATCACAGGCCGCTGCGTCACGGTGCAGGTGCAGGTGGAGTTTGAACTGTCCCAGGCCATACTCCACCCAACGGTAAACGGCTTTGCCGCAGTCTCGTCTGAGTAGGGTGTAGCCCCCTCCCACGAAGCAGTCCTCCACTCGGAGTCGCGGTGCACAAACACCTTCAGACGTCGTGTGGACAGTGACGGTCCATCGCCCATGGCTTGGTGTCGTCTTGACTTTTCGGTGTGTGCGCCTTTGCCATTTTCATGCGACTACTTAATCACTGCCTTCGTATGAATATGAAGTTGTCGCAAGGTCACCTCTCTGACGCCGCTCGCGGTCGCATCACATATTTACAGCCTGAAGTGCTAACTACTGGTTTCCCGTCCTTGCAGAATTGCAGGCCCTCTTTGTCCACATGGGTAAACTTCGTGGTGTAGCAACGGCTTCAAGTTCGAATTCGATTAACTCCTTCGATTAACTAAAAAATTTCTCCACTTATGAGAATCCACTTGAATGTATGTAGCCCCGCGATATATCGTCACTCGTAAGCCAGTCGCATGGTTCATACAATAACGGATAAAGCCTCCGAAGAATAGCCGTGAAGCAAACGCAGGCCCAGCAGCCCTGTAATCCTATGAATAGATGCCTCTGCGTAATGGCGGCGGCCGCAGTGCGAGATGGCTGAGCTCCCTGGGGAACGTCAAAAAGATCTTCACCAATGCCCACTAACACAATCACGACGTGCCACAACTATAGTTTTGAGTGAAGCAGCCCCTACCAAGAGCTCGAAGCTTAGCTTACATACGGAGTACTATAGTAAAGATAGAGTCGCATAGACATAGTGCATGTAAGGGTTAGGAGTTGCTCAGGGCCCGGAAGAAGCTCCAATTGCGATGCAGGCACCTATGACCTATACGTTCTACATCTCGGTCAAAGTGTGTAGGGTTGAAGATGGTCCTCTCTTCATCTTTTCCTTTCTGACGGCACATGAACCACCTACTCCACCTTCCAAGGTATATGGGTTTAGATCTAGGACATGGTCAGCGGGAAATTGGAATACGAAGAGTTTGTAATCGTATCAACCCTGTCTAGTACTCGCCCTCTTCCCCCGGTGCGTTCGCAGAGCCCCTTCAAATTGTCTTACAGGGACAGTGATACTATCGCCCCTTTGGGTTGATGAGCTTCCAGTCCTGCTCGCAAGGATCTGTGGCGAAGCAGGAAGCAATGCAGATTTTCCAGACGATGCGATCTATCGACCGGCTCAGACCAAGACAAGCTGGAGGGTTCTGGATGCAACTCACTGGGTCATTATAGAGCGACTCTAGGTATCTGGTAACGATGTCTAGCCCAGGGCAACTCGCAACATTGCACGTCTTGAAAAGGAATATTTCACCGGCACGAGCTCGTCGTAATTCTATCTTGGTTGAGGGACCACGCCAGACTCCGGTGAATGGATCCCAATAATTATGAGAAATTGATGCGATCTCCATTAGATCTTCAGGAAGATCGTGCGAATATAAATGATTCGAACCCTGGATGTTGACAGAGAAAGACAGAGGAGTACAGTCATCCTGGCATCATGTGTCTTGAAGCCGAAGTTTTTCACGAATTAATGCACGCACTGCGATCCACCATAGGACTCTTGTCTTTGCATCAGTTCGATTACCAGCAGTAGTAAGTTCCCGTTGGGTGCTTCGAATAATGGCCTTGAGGTCCGATATGATGTCATTCGTCACCACAGACCCATCGACCGGGTCATTCGGAGTAGACTCTCCGTTGTCTGAAGAATCGTCATTAGCGCTGGACGCGGAGGACACCGAAAGTCACCAAGGGACTGACTTTTCGTTTCGATTGCCTTCGACAACCTCGATGCACGGGATTGTTCCCTCCTACAGATCTTCCACTCCTCAGATATGCGGGTGAGATCCTTCATGGGCAAGCGATCGGTATACCATACGAATTCTTGCGGTGTTCCTCTACACCCATGTTTACGGCACTGCGAAACTTTGTTTTCATGTCCTCAAGAAGCATGAATCGACGAGGATACTGACTTGTGTATACCAGCGGCCGGCATTCAAGCGATTCCTAGACCCGTAGCAGAGCATGACTATTCTTCCACTGGGGTGAAGTCCGCGACAGTCATCCGCATTTAGTAACGGAGGAGATCCAGCAAGGGAGCGACAAAGAGCTTTGAGGGGAGGCGAAGCTCTAGGGGACATGAAGAATAGGCCAACACCTGGACAATGTGGTCGAGGGTGAATTGGCTTAAGAGTATATATACGTCTAGCATATGCGTATTCAAAGTCGAATTGACACCTGAATCCGGCCGGAATAAGTCTTTCAAGCGGGAAAGGAACAATGGGTAGACTGACTATGATATTGACGTAGCAGAATCCATAATTTGGGAGCGGGAAATACGTTTCGTGAAGAACACACGATTGCACTTATCGTATGAAATTGTGTGACGCACGCAGGCGGCAGCATGCTAGTGCAAACGGAAAGGCCTAATAATCTGGCCGCCTCGCCGGGTCACGTACTAAACGCGCAAGTCTGATTCAAGTGGGGCCATTAGATGCGTCCATTTCGCTTTCCAGATTGACTTACACAGACATGTCGGCCTGAAGGCGAGACTGAATTCTCCTATACTTGTTCCACGCTCAGAGGTATTGTCATACCTCTTCCCAAGACGTTATACCCTATCTCAGTCCATTCAAATCAATTACTTTTTGTTGCCTTGTCAGGAGAGCTGTCGCTCGTCTTCCGAATGGAACAAGGAAAAGTTCAAACGTGGGAGGATCAGCACACCTCGGGGGTATTCCCCGCGAATCTTGCAAGGATAACGAATTCCTCAAAGCAGCAGGAAGGACGTACAGTGAGAGATGAGAGTTCAGTCGCAAGTATTCCGTCAACAAGCGATTCTTTGTCGCCACCGTCCAGCCTGACATCGCTAGACTCGTCTGCAACCGCCTGGAAGGCTCAGAACCGATGTCCGCCGGCGAGTGCCTATTCTCCAGAAGGTATTAATTCCAGACCTGGGAAATGGCTCTGATGTCGTTTCAAACGGAGGTTCAGACCGGGTTTAAGGTGTAGAAGAAGGATACATTCCAAATCGGGCAAGATCTTGTAGAACCCGCTTCTTCGCTGGACTTCGGACGTTGGCTCACTCAGCTGATTCTGGTTCACTGGCAGGCCGCATCGGCGCGGGAACATCACTACACTAGGTCGGACTTGATGTGATCACCGCTGAAGGACGTCCACAGGGATATTCTGGAATTTATGCGCTCCTCGACAGCCATGATGGAGTCTAACTGACGTCCACATGCGAAGGTTCTCTATCTGATCGGAAGCAATGGTCGAGATCTCTTTTTCTCTGGTTCAACAGGCTCTGACGGGCTGGAATGGTCGGTGGGTGTACAGTGTCCCTTTTGGTTGCTCTCTCCCTTGACATCGGTCGGCCTTCGTAGGTGAGAAAGCCTTTGCGATGTGTAAACGTCGACGCTCGCTAATTCCATCGCTTACTGTCATGGGTGGTGCTCTTTTCCTCCGCGCTTGCTTAGGGGTTCGTCCAGTAAGTTCCTACGATGCGTCACCCATGGTACGTGAACGATGACACTATCTGGTTCCATCGTTTACCGTTATAGGTAGTGGTATTTCCCTCTTCACTTACGCGGAGTTCGCATGACTCAGTGGCCCTCCGAGCACACATGACCGACCATAACTCGTGAGTCGCTTTTCGCTGCCTGTGACTATAATAATGTCGATGCTCTGACAAGGTGAAAGGCAGTGCGGTTGCGTGGCAAAGTAAGGAACATCCGTGCGATGGTGATGGACAGCGCGATGGAAGCTATCTGCTTCATTCTCCACTCCGCAGGTTGGTCCTGAAGCGCGGGACCGTGAGCCCAGGAATATTCGGTACAGTACATATCCAACAAGGGGGTGTGCTTTCTTGCGCTCTCCCTTCGCATCTGATTACCGTCGCGCCAACTGTCTATGGCAGCTTTTTCCATGGAACGTGCTGCGCAGGTTGGCGTCACTGTCGGCCGTCGCGCTTTCGGTCTCGTTTTATTTCTAGATTTTCTAGCGACCGATGATGGCTCCACGAGCAAAAACGCCGTGAACTGGCCAAGTCAATGGCCATGAATGGTAAGAAGTGCCTTATCGCTTTGCCGCACGGCTCTGCGTGATTCCTTCCCTTCTGGCGACCATTGTATTTCGGATAAATGGTCATACAGCTTGTTGTCACGCTTGAGCTGAAGGACAAGTCTTGAAAGGTACGCTTATTCGAAATTGCGGTAGTTCTCCTGCTGATTTGGGAGGTCAGGAAGGACCTGGAGCAGGGTTTTCCCTGTATTCCTTCGGTCTGTGACAGTCATCTCAGCGCGCTTCTCACTACGCCGGTTTCCTGGACTTGATCATGTGGTACCATGCCCATGCTAGTACCGTTGGGTATTCTTATTGTCACTCCTGATGACTTGGGCTGTTTCCTCTTGCTCTCGTATGTAAACCCCCCTGGCTTCAACATGCATTGCATCGTGGTCTCTTCGCTTGAACCTATCTGAAAACCATCCTGATGGTTCGCTCGTCAAAGGGAGGCATTGCTGACTCCGTCGTCAAGGAAACATTTCTACAGAAATATCTTCCAAAATACTGGGATGTTGTTGACCATGCCGGCAGAGGTGCGCCGAAGGTCTTCGTGCTGCAGGTCGTACTGGCCAAGTGGGTGACGAAGTTTGGCATGCCTACCGACACGGCGTTTACTTCGGTAAATGACTCCCTTTTGATCTAGTCCTGGACTTACTCTAGAATTTTCTGCAGCGATTGTACAAGTGGTTTAGCAATAAGAACCGGAGGAAAGCTCGTCAGCACACAGGACGACTGGAAGTGGTCAAGTTCAAGGTCTCCACGCGGAAGCCGAGGTCTACCCCGGCGAAGAGCGCATTTGCTTCAACATTCGAATTAGACGATCTTGCGATGCAGCGCCGGTTAGACTTAGGTCTTCCGTCGCAATCGTTCCTCAAGGTAAGGACAGAGATACTGGATGAACGGTGGAAAGCATTGCCTCCGGAAGAACACCCTAAATACAGCGAGAAGGCGAAACAAATCGACGAAGAGAAGGCGAAGCGACAAAGTCCTGCGTCGGCTGATGATTATGCAATGTGAGTACGAGGATAATTGATGAATCTCTGGCCGTGAGATTAATATTTGGTTCATGTATATGCAGGCTGGCAAAGAAAATGAGTGCGGTCGTAAATACTTCTATCAAGGAGTGGCAGAAACACCTTCCTGGTTGGAGTGTCCACCTGAAGATGGGCGGCACGTTCGGGGTCAATGGAGGATTAAAGTCCTGGGAGTCAGTTATGTGGCTATCCATATCTATTGGCACGTAACACATCCTATTTTCTATCTCAGATTTGACGTACCGTGTTTCGGAGGAATAAAATATCGCCAGTTCACAGATGGAGATGGCACAGGTCGATGGAAGAAGTTCGATGACCACTTCATGTCATACCTCAAGCACCAACACCGTACGACCGATTGATACTTGACCTGCTTAACACTGATTTTAATCTAGGAATTTCTGAGGGTTGGACGAGCGACGATGCGGGAAATACGATGCTTCCCCCATACCAGAAGACGTGGACCTACGACGATTTCCTTCAGCGACTGCTTCTCTACTTCGAGCGGCACTGGGGTAAGTCTGTTCATGTCGTCGACGAATCAGCTCCCCGTTGGTTGATGACACCCTTATAGAGCACCAGACCAACACGACGACCATCCCCTGGGACAGTATCGTCGAGGATCCTTCTGCTTTCCTTGCGATAGACCTCCCAGCTGATTTCATTTTCAAACGCCCGAGCGATTATTCCTTCCCCGAACTGATCGAACTATACTCTCATCTTTCGGTCGCTGAACAAGAGTTACTCGAGGCCCCGGTAATATTTTCAAATGAAGCAGTGCGTTATACTCGGCGGAAAGGCAACGCAGTCAGTCGTACCAGCGGTGAGCGAATTATTCAATAGATCTGTTCCGTATGTTGCGCTGACTAAGCTCAGATAACCTAAATACGCCGACCACTTCGCCCACATATTCTCATCGCCGACAATCGGATTCGCGTTCTTCCGATACGAGGAAGGTGCGGTCATTCAGGGCGCATACGGAGGGCAAGTAGTTCCTTCTTTCACATCTGTTGCCGAAGGACGCTAAATCCTGGATCGTTGACCACTAGTGAACACCGGCCGTTCGCTGGGACCTTGGACCCAGGGAAAGCGCCTCCGTAGAGTTGAAACTAGTGGTAAGCACAGAGATCATATTGTCTTTGACAGCGCTGACGTCATTCTGTTTCCGAAGATGAGTCTGAATCTGATACCGAAGCATTGGAGGTCAAGGCGAGGAACGAAGAACCAGGACGATCAGAGGGTAAGCGACATTGTATCTTGCATCGGGTGTATATTGAAAGTCGATTTTCAGCGGTGCCATCGCACACCCAAGTTCGGCATGGAGACGAGTGTTTCACACGTGTTACATCTCCGTCGCTAATCCTTGAAGGTGTGTTGACATGTGTTGCTTGAACAACGCTTTGTCTCACAGTTCGTAATGCTCCGTTCCCGCCCTTTGCGTATTTTCTTCATCCAGATGCGTCTGATAATCAGAGTGAAGTCAGTATCGATTGGACTCCGGAACGAATTGAACAATATGCACTGCAATCACAGCTCATGGAAACGGAGGATGGCCACGTTGCGGACGATAGTCATGCAATAAAGAACGGTTTGATTCTTTGTCTCTAGTACAATCGCACCCGATAATAGATTGTTTTATCATAGCTTTCACTTCCCTCACGCGTGTGAGCGATTCTGCTGAGATTGAAGATTCGCAAACCTTGGATGGATTAGGGGAACTGCACGGGATTCACAATGCTAGGGGTAAGTTTTTCTAGCTCTGTGCCCATATTGATTGATGGGCCAGTCCATCCATAGTGCTTGCAGATCAACACTCTTGCAATTGCTCAGCCTTCTGCCCTCCTTGGGCACGACATCTTTCCATTGTGACATCTCAGGAATATGACCTGATCATGTCAACTTGTCCGAGTTGGCTGAAGAATGTCCTCCTGTACTTCAAACACGCAGCGGTTCCTAGGCACTGTGGGGCATGGCGTAATCTGTTGAGAATGGCGATGAAACTCGACCATTGTTTGCCTGTGCGTGGTCATCCCTCCGTTTAACTTCACGGTTCACATGATCTCGATAAGCAGCATGGTCGGCTATCATCTGATGTCCTGGAACTACCGGTGAGCGATTGGCTCTCAGAAGCCCAAGATCACCTAGCGCGACATAACAAAACACCAGCAACTCTCGGTCAGGAATGTTCCACGTGGTGGCTTTCACTACAGCCACCAAGACGCCGTGGCTCACAGTTAGATGACTTACCGCATCCTGCTGGCTTACCGGCCACTGCATGGACGGATTTAATGAAAGGTGGGCCGGACGGTGTGGTGGCAATACCACGTGCACTTGCGTTGTGTTACCCAACCCAAAATCGATCACATGGGTTGTCCAAGGCACAGTGGCACAGATGTGTCTTTGATGTCAGCTGGGTGTTCAGCCAGATGTTGAGAAGGTAGCCTCCCTTGCTTGGATGCGTCTAGTCATTACTAAATATTTGCGGGGTGACAACCTCTGCGAATTGTCTTTTTCAAGTCCTTCCCAGTGACTAGAAAAATGCCGCCTGGCGGAGCCAGTGACCTTACTTGCGACTGCTGCGGTGATGAGCAATAATTGTAGGATCACCACATTATAGACTACACAAAATTTCGACGCAATGTATCAAAGTGAAGTGAAAAAAACCAAATGGAAGTTGCATCACAAAAATTCCACTTCGCGAATAAGCGGAGTGATGGGGAGTCTGTACAAGTCTGCGGGAATGGAACACTTTCCGAGTGAGTCGAATGCACTGGCTCGTCACTACAACGCATGCGTCTGGTACTGTTGGTGCTGCTCACGAGGGAAATGAACCTGCTTGAAGTCATTCTTGAGACCGAAATTGAGGCCATTCCTATGGCGGCCAACATGTCTAGGTCTAGTGAAGTCTGTAGCGACGTAATGGTGAGCACCCACGGTGCTCGCCATAAAATCGTCCTGAGACACATTCGAGCAAGCCATTAAATTGGAGGGCCTGCAAGGTCGTTCCTGGACGGCATGCTGGGCAAGCTGTGCTTGTTGCTGTTGGACGTGTTCCCGCACGATGGGTCCTTCCATGCGCTTAAAGTGGTTGTGTGCACGGAATGGGTTTGACATATTGATACTCATCGCGGTTTGCATGTGTGCCTCGGCATCAAACAGGTGTGAATCCGCATATGGGAGGTTCTGCATATCGTGAAGAGCTGAAGAGAATCAGGAATTGAGCATCTAACATTGTGGATATAATATCTACGTGCTAGTCACCTCGGGTGGCATATGCAGCATGGTTCCCGAGAGCATCATTTGGATCTGGCACTGTCACAAGCTCTGGCAGATTGTTGTCCGCCCGTGCAAAAAGCTGCTGGCGCTGACGCATACCACTCTCATGCAGTAGCGGAGGTATTACACTCTTCCCCCGCGCGACCAGATGCCTATCAGACATGAGGCAAGGGCTGGCATTCATGTCCAGGTCTAGGCCCGATTGAAGAAATTGAGGCAAGAAAGGGTTAAAATGGGAGTGCTTTAAGTTGACGTTCGCAGCTTGCGATAGGGTGAATGGGGCCAAGGACGGTTCTCTACCAATGAAGTATTGTGCGCGCTAGAAATAGATCGGCGTCAAAAAGAGTTATCCTTTTGGAAGTGGAAGGAACCCGTCTGCATGTCATGCACATGTGCAAGATCCGCTCGAATACTGGAAGACACAGAACACGCTCCGTTACAATCCAGTTCACATACAGGTTTGGAACCCGAGAGGAAGGAATGCGAGCGCCTTCGGTTACTACCTCGCAGACCGATCGAAACAGCTTCCATACACCCGGTCGCCCAACATAGAAGCACGAAACGCTCACCTTCAACTTCCGCTGCTCGTTCGTATCCGCGAATCGAACCTGGATCCTATGCGGCGTCGCGTGCTCGTCGTATACCATCCTACCATCCAATCGCTCAATAATCTCTTCAGCCGCCGCACGCGTCTCCAATCTGCACGTAGAATCGGCAATGTCACACGTAGACCTTCCACATTACCTCAAACATCGTGAACTCACCTGGCAAATGCAATGATGCCCGGAGGATTACTCAACCGGGTCCGGAAGATTCGACTGCTTATAATTCGGTACGGACGCACGAGCACCGCCAGATCGGTCTCATCAGTGCTGAGAGGCAGGTCCTGCATGTACAAATTTGTTGACGATAAGTCCTGCGTCGACTGCGCCTTGTACGAGTCCGGTGCATGGGTACCTGGGGTATTCATGTTGGGAATATAGTGGATTCGCTGGAGGTCGGAAGGGCTGGGATGAGTCAAAGCAGTCGATGCAGTTAAACGAGGAAGAGATGGAAGTGAAGGCCAGATTGAGGAAGACAATATAATTGACAAAGATGCCCACAGCTAGCGATATGAATCCCAAACAGGATGAGTGAAATGACGAACCTTACAAAATGACGGATACAAACGACGATACTTGCCCAGGGTTTCAATGCACTTCTCCGCGGCATCGATGCTGTCTAGCCTGTATAAAACCGAATGAACTCGTCACAGCCGCACCTCCATGAGCTCGTACGAACTTGAGACGTACAGAACGAATCCATACCCTCTGTCAGCGGCAAGCGTTAGCGGTGTTCATAGACAGAGAATGAAGAAGACGCAGAAAATACGATGCACAGCTAGAGTGTATATCAACATCTGATGTAGTGAAGACACGACATTCGTCGTGGACAAAACATGACCTAGAGCACGAGACAGCTAAACCATAAGAAAGGTTTGGCCATTCAGCATCTCAGGTGCCGCACCCCACATGGGCATCAGACGACAACGGCATTCGATCCAATGAGAAATCCGTGACTGACTAAACAGTGATGCGAGCAACTCATCAGAAGCAGTACATGAACAGCCAAAATGTGTCGTTGAGTGCAAAGCACTCCGTATGCTACTGAACCCCGATGCCTTGACAGTGAGGCCGCTCCAAACGCCAGAGCTCGTTAGAGAAGAGCACTTCGATACAATAAATGCACAATATACAAGTATTTGCCGCACATAGCCATCGCACTAGTTCACACAAGGAAACACGGCTGTAAAATCAACGCTCGACATCGCGTAGGATGTCAGTGTCGGAAGACTGAGCGTGGTGGCGACAAGTGGTGACAGAACGTCAAGCTCCCGGGAGACTACAGGCGTGAGGATTTCCATGGAGCTGGTGGGCAAAAGCGAGCGCCACGTAATAACCCCAAAATAACTACGAGAAGATAATGATCCCAAGAAACGAAACTCGATGGCGACGTGCCGCACACAAGTTAGGGATTCGAAATGGACAAATTACTCACGAAAGCTTGTCGATCCCATAGCGTGTAAACGTACGCACGCTGAGGACGGTTCCAAACTCACGCGTTATCGCGTACAGCTGATCTTCAGGGAAATTCGGTGGCAGCCCGTTGATATACACGTTGGGGATCCGTGTATGCTGCTGCATCTGGTTCTGCCCCTGCATGCGAGCATGCGGGAGGTATTCGGCCGTCGCTGGGTAAGGAGAGGAGAGGATGCGCATTTTCAGTGGCTCTGCGGCCGCAAGTAAGAGACGACAAGCCGGCGACGTGTTGGTCGAGTAGCCATCGAGTATACCATGCGCGTCGGAAGCTGTGCAATGGCAGTCAACCGCAGAGGCGGCAGGCGATGGTGCTACTGAGACACCAACGGCGACAGTAGAGATACGCGGGTCGTCGCGCTTAATGGTGCAGGGCCCTGGCACAAGCTGGTACATACCAGTCGGCGAGTCGAACTTGTCGAACCTGCTATAGGATTGAGGCTCAGACGAGGGGAGAATGTTCCCGGTGCAGGAAAGGAGGGGATATGCCGCGGACGAAGACAGAGAGGACACGCTCGCGGAGGAGCAGGACGATAATTGGGGGGGCGTGAGCGAGTTCTGGGGCGTGGGGTGCGTAAGCTGGCCCGTGGATGGGGGAATCGGCGTACGGCAAGGGGGGTTAGAGGCGAATGGTTGGGCTGCAGAGGTCAAATTCGAGGGCGTTCGGAAGCGCTGGTGCAGCAGATGAGGCTGATATGTGAGACTATTCCAAGGTTGCATGGCTGATAGCAACCGGCTTTCAGAGTATGACTGCGATGCTAAAGCGAATTGGGCGTTCGTTGGGTCTTGGAAAACCTTTCGCTTGAATAGAGGAAATGGACAGTAGGGACAGGAGAGTGTGGCCTGATACAACAGCGGATGATCGCAGTGCGCGTTCGGGGTTGCATCCAAGTCCCGCGAGCATTGTGATAACTGGCAGCGCCCGCAATTGAGTGGGAAAGGCCGCTTTGTTTGCGACCAGATCACGTCATTGTTAGTTAGGTGTATTCCGACGGGTTGACGAAACGGGAGTCATGCCTTGGCCCTGCTATCCACGCTGCTATCCACGAATGATAGCCAGGAGCTGCAGCGTCTGTCACTATGTTCACGGAATTCGTAAAATGACTAGTCGAGCATTTTCCTGTATCTCTCCCCACTCCTCGGTACGAAACCCCACGGTGCAGAGATAATTGCTTCCCAGGAGTGCTTCAATACTGGAAAAGAATTTGTAGGTGCGAGACTTCGGCCAGGTCTCTCACGGGTTGGACAGCATTTCTCCCGACGCCATTCTCGTCCAGCTCACTAGCGCTGTATCCATCACCGCGCTCGCGAACTTCCTCCCCGTAAACGAGGAATTCTTCACGAGCGCAACTTTCCGATAGGACAGTAGCCAAGTGCAATAGCCATCTAGATGCCCCAACATTTCCTAGTCCAGGAAAATATCACACCTGACTCTCAGAATCAGGGGGGTAAAGGCGTTGTTCTGCAGGCCAGACTGTCAGACTTGAGAAACCCCCGGGTTTCATATAAGGCGACAGTCCCTGAAAATTCCCGCTAATTGGTGATCTCTCGACAGGCTCCTGGCGCTGCATTTGTTGCTGTACATGATGATGAAGCAGTTATCTGAAGAGAATATAAACATGGCACCAGCAAATAAATGGCGACTGTACCCATCGACAATTGCCTTGCTCGATAGCATGGATGCAGTTGCTTTCCGTTCGTTATAAAGGAAACGGTATGCCCTCCAGACAATTTGGGGATCAACGTTCTATACAGATTGAGCCAAAACAACTCTTCGTGGTCTGAATGGATCCGCAGGGCGCATCGTGAGACAGTGCTTTCTATGCATGCAAACTGCACAAAGCAACACGGTGCAGTTAATGAGGAACCTAGCGTACACCTTGGTCTATCACACCACCTTTGATTAGTAGCCTAGTCTGATCAATGCTGTCGCCCTTTGGGGCGTAGATGTCCGGATCAAGATGGCTTTAAACATGTTGCGGTCGCATGGCCCGGTCATCTTCGTCCCAATTCTATGTTTATGTGTCGCAAGAGAAGGCCTGAAGCGGAGGATGTGAGGCGTGGGGCTACCGTGATGCACCGGAAGAGGTCCTTAAAGGAAAGGCACAAACAATCAGTTCTAATTGAGAGAACGACGCTGCACCTCCTTGACAGATCAGAACGTACAACACATTAAAGATATCACCAACATACCGAATGACGCGCACCGCAGTGCATGCTGCACTTGTCGACAATAGCTAAAATACACACAGCAGAAGAAGCAGTACTGAATCCGGCGGGCATTATCTTCCTCAAGAGTCATTCTGATATCGCAAGGCATACGCTGCGAGGAATACACTGCTATTCAGAAGACGGTAAGAATAGCCCCAGACAGAGAAGGAAACAGATGTCGGACCAACCGCCGAATATGTAGGGGATTACAACAACTAGACCACTAACAATGTCACAGCCCAAGGGTTCCGTGAGCATAGTGACTTTAGAACTGACACGAAAGGGGAGACTCGGGAGTAATCGTCACATCTTTGAACTTTGAAACGTGGAGGTAACAGGTACTGACAGTGTCCCAGCACTCACCAATCCTAAAACCGGCTCGTAGATTAGTATGCCCGAAGTGCCGCCTGTGTAACGATTCAAAAACAGCAGAAGACTACCGATATCACGACGCTTTGCGAGTCGTATACGCCTGCCTTGGTATTTGTTCAGGCATCTCACTATGTGGAGTGAGAGAGACGAACAACTGTCCACGACCACTACAATTATTTCAGATGCTTTGAAGCACGAAGGATTCTAGACACATTGCTAAGGATGAGTCTCGTAGCGTGTACATCAGAAGGTTCGAGAGTGAGGTACCGACATTGCCAAGTACCCCTCCAGTTTTAACACGCCCGTTTCGAGATACCGACCGAATACTGCAGGAGCGTGCGGCCTCGCGCGTCGACCGTGTGCGCACCATCACTCATGAGACCAACTCAAATTTGCTACCCCGACAAATGATGAATTTCGTGCTCACTACAAAGTGACTGTTTGTAGATGAAACACAGTTTCTATTTGCCGTAGTAACAAATTCGATTGGTCAATTGAGTCCCTATTCAGTCCTGATCGCACAAGTAAACTTTATCAATAAATTTGTACTGGTGACAAATGGTGACATTGTAAGGCAGGCAAACCTTACATTCACTCAGGGATACAAATCCGGGAGGGTCTCAAGTGTCAGGGATCGACGCCACCACCGATTCGTGGGAATGACTGGTGATACGGTGGTCGCTTGGGTGTCAAACCCGCCGTTGAGATTCACAACTCCAGCGAGCTCAGAAGGTACGGTCGAGACGACGAAGGTAGCGGACGGGTAATCCACCGATTTCGCCTTCTTGGTGAAAATGGCTGTCGCGCACCTCGTACAAGCCGCGTTACGCACAACGCACAACCAGTCGACATCGGCATCACGATCAGCGCAGCTTGTGCTGGCGGCTGTTCCACACGACGTACGTCTAGCAGGCATTCGCATCACAGCGACCATACCGGCAACGAGGGAGGGACGGAGATCGATATGACTATCGAGCTCGACATGAAAGCGGTGGCATTATGTAATACAGTGTATTTCCAACCGGGCGTCTGTTAGAGTCTATGATTAGAAAAAACGAGAAAACGAGTAAATTTAACTGACTACAGCTCGGGTACGTAATTAAGAGATATCTCGTCAGCTACTGCGCAAGGAAAATTGGGGAGAGGAAGAGGGATGGATGAGGTACGTAGTTCGCACTAAGGCGGGTGGATGAACGGAAATTAAAGTCTATCGTACAAAGCCTACATGCGCTTCGAAACGCCTGGACTAGATGGCGGGCAATATTGCATCTGCGGAAATTGTGGGAAAATTCTGCCTTATACCGGTCCGAGACAGTACCACTCCTTGAGACAGTTGGCTTTTTCTCGCACATTTTTTCACTTTTGGCCTCGGAGTTTTTTCACATGTGTAGAAGTACTGTATAGGCTACTATGACATGACTAGAGAAGAGAATCTTATTGCAGGTATTTTTCCAGAACCAGAAAGGTGTGAATTTGCCTAGATTCCGAAATTTCTCTCAAAAGATCTTGAGCCCCTGTTGGCTCAGGACAAGGTAAAAACTTGACTGGATACATTAAATAACATATCTCTTCATGTCCCACTCCATTGCAGATAAATCCTGTGCAGGAGGAGTGTGTAGATGCACTTGGATGCATCCTTGAGACAGCTTGAGACAGCAATCTGCGAGGACCCGGGCTACTCCACCGAGAAGCAAGAGCCCACAAACAAGAGGATCCCAGCACAAATGATAACACATCCCTGGCAGTACTGGAGCACGCACAGCAGCGAAAAGCGAGCAATAGGACCATGAGAAAGGGCACATGCACTCTGGCACTCCGGAAAACTCTCAATCGCAGGCAGACTGGAGCCTAAAGCGGTCATTTGAAGTGTTTGAGGTGTCCATTGGGCAACAGTGTTTGCCAACACAGTTGCAGAAACATCAGGGGGTGTGGATTTGGTGGCAATGAATATCCATTCGAAGTCAGGATCCGCAGCGCGGCCGGGTGATGATGGTGCAAATAACTCAGTAACAATATCCACTATAAACAAAGAACTGACTTACCGAAACTTACGTTTGACATCGTGTGCGTGACTGCTGCACCGAACGATGTGCTCCAGCTCAAATTCATCACCCACAAGTTTTGTTCCCATACATGAGTCAAAGTCAGGGAGAATAATGCGACGTGCTACGTCTCGAATTTTGTTCTCTGTGGACAATGGTGAATTTCAGGAGTGTTGGCTATTAGATCGCTTGACGGTCTGTCAATGTGTTGAATCAGGGATCGGAACGACTCGTCATGGCTGAGATTAGACGATACAGAATAGACAGGAAATTTTGACGAGTGTCCACATTTATAACCAACCTGTACCTTACCGTGCGGACGAAGCAGCACTTTTCAAGGCCCAGGATGGAGGGACATGTCGATGTTGGAACCCTCGCCCCTCCGCCTCTTCGCCCCGTCACAATACATGACTCTCCGCCAGCAGGGCAAGGTGACCGAGGGTTGATGTCGTCTCCTGCCGCCGCTCGGCCACATCTGGTTCATCGGCGCCGTCCCTGACAGCGAGCAAAGCAAGACGCACGATGAGCTCAAATATAAGGCACCTACATTCGTTTTAATTCTGGAGCAGAGAGATCAACAGTCGAGCACGCCCTCAGGAACAGCGGTAACGATGCTGTCATTGAGGCTCTCCCTGCCCGCCACCGAACCGGATACGCCCCGCGGAGACGTTTCCAATTTGAAGAGGAAAGGTGGACTCGGATTTGATACAACCCCGCTTTGACACTGCCGTGCGTATGCCATGTGGTTTTGCGGAGGTGTATGGGAAGACACGACACCCCTCGGGAGAAGCCACTTCGACACATTCTCTAGGGCTATGGAAGGCCCACGATCTGAGTAGCAGTAATGTGCTCTCCTTCTGCCTGATCGATACACAAAACAGTAAAAGTCTGCATAGGACAGACGATCAATCGCACGCATCATGCGGGGGACATACATGACTAGGAATCAAAGGAATACTCATGCACAATCCGCAAATGCGGCATGCGCCAAGCACTCGCATCAAGTCTGTGTAGGTTACCCCCGGATTATCGCGGCAGATCAACTTAGAGATAGTAGACTGTACATCTTCACAAGTCGGCGGAGGCAGGTCATGC